GCCACAAACAAAAGTTGAAGCTCCATTTGATAGAGTACGACCGGTGAAAATCGAAGCTAACCATTCGTGGAAAACAATCCACAGGCCGACCGATTCCAGAAAAACGGGGACGTTGTCTAACCTGATCATGGAAGTCTAATACCTCTCGAGACAGATGCCACTTGATCCAGGATAATGTAAGTCTAGATACTATGAAGGCACATAGGAGCTAAACATACTATTATTCAAACTGATTAAGGAGGCCCAATGTGAACATGAGTTAGACAGCTCCAGTTTTCCCAACCATTAACCATGTAGTCTCATGCGCCGGTTTTGGTTGACCTTTTCGATGAAACAGTAGAATGAAGATTGAAATCTTCAGAGCGGGTTTAATGAGATGGAGAATTCGTATAGACTGGGGTTGCAAGAATAATTAGTAGAAGCACGAGCGACACCGTTTGCGACACTCAGTCACATTATTCAATGTCTCTAACCACCGGTTACCATAATCTCAGGGTCTCCAGCCAGGGAGCCTAACGGCAACTGCGTGCTGGTAAGGATCTACATATTTTGATGTTAGGTCTTAGTTTGACCTCACTTGATCTTTTTCCAACCTGCCTCGGCAAACATCGCTCGCCATGGTAACCTATCTGGTGACATGCGTAACACATGCCCCAACCAACGTAATCTGCGGAGGTCGGCCACTTGCTCCAGCGGACGACCACCATTAACTAGAACCTTAGGCCTAAACTCAGCATTGCTCGTCCGGTTACCCCACCAGACTCGTATAATGTGACGTAGACAGCGATGCTCAAAATCCGACAATCTATTTTATCCTGTTCTCGTAATGGTCAAGTCTCTGCATGTTAGAGCAGGAGTGACCGAACTGCTGCAGCATACGCTCCATCATTCACAGAAAGCCGGATGTCGAGACGGCGCCACAGGTGTCTCAAGTTGACAAATACCAGCCGAGCCTTCTGTGTGCGTGCCTACGCTTCATCTATGACACGTTCGCCAGGTAAGATATAGCCGCCCAAATAGCAGTTTGTTTACTTCTTCAGTTAATGAGATTGGGGTCTAGGTCAAACTTATCTTGTAGCAACATTTTACACTTTGGAGGTGCAAAACGTATACCCATCATAATTGCACTAGAACTACCCAGAAAAGCTTGCCGAACCTTCGCACAGAGGCACAGTCTACCACCTGGGAGAAAATCGATGCCGCCATCCTCGCGCGAGGATAGGGCTGTTTTAGGAAGTAAATCTATGACGAGGTTAATTAGAAACAGAAAGTGTAACCCTGACGGACAATTTTCTGTAGTGAACTCAGGAGAAAAAGCGGCTTAAGCTTGAACTCAGCATTCGCTAAACGGTAAAACATTGTCCGCATTTTGTTAACTGTAGCTTTGCGATTGCAAGAGCTTACATGGTGCAACATGACATGATCGCACTAGCTTTTCTTGCCGGAACATAAAAGAAAAACTGCAGAATAGGTAGACTTCTCGCTTTCCATGAACATCCCGAAAAGACATCAATCACTCTGATACAACTGATGAGAAAAGGCAGTTTCGCCATTACCGATAGATTCAAGTTCGTGGAAGGAGCTATCCTGTGTGGAATATCATACACCTTCGCAATTTTCGTGTCACTTCTCATTCTTCCACACTACCTG